AAGATAAATTAAGCTGTATTTAAGAATCTATTTAATTTACATATATCTTGATTTTGTAATGGTGAAATGTTCCTTCTAATTTATGTAGTCAAATTAAATTACTTGAATTTTTTTTCTTTGGAATGTCATGGGGTAACTATTAATATTATAAAATATACTATCATTAAATGATGTTTGTAACAATAACAAACAAACAAACAAAAACCAAACATAATACACAAGTTTATTATACAGTCATTTCAGTTATGATTGGGTATTGTAGACTATGAAAAGGACTTACGTAAAGTTATTTTGTAAAATTGTAGTCCATTAAAATTGAATTTGTACTATAGATGTTAGTTATTTCATGCATAATTGTTTTGAAACCAATACCTAGTTAACTATGAAAATAGAATAAAAAGCTTTATTAATAAGGATTATGATGTTTTTTTTTAAGAATATTAAATACATTTTGTTTTATTCTGATCTGTCAACAAACATCTTTGATTAACGTCTCTACTTTTGGTAATTGGTAAAAAATTGTCTGAAATTAGGCTGTTACTTTTCTCAATTGAATTGTTTAACATTTTTCATGTTGAGGCCTTTTATAGCCAACTATACGGTATGGGTTTTTATACGATCACGTCGTCGTCGTCGTCGTCGTCGTCGTCGGCGTCGTCGTCGTCGTTGTCGTCGTCGTCGTCAGCGTCGTCCGAAGACAGATGGTTTCCGGATAATAACTTTAGTATAAGTGAATAGAAATCAATAAAATTTTAACACAATGTTTATAACTACAAAAGGAAGGTTGGGATTGATTTTGGATGTTATGGTCCTATCGGTTTAGGAATAAGGGGCCCAAAGGTCCCAAAAACATACATTTATCTAGTTTCAGGACAATAAGTTGTGTATAAGTATTTCAATTACTCTGAAATTGTACCACAATGTTCATATCATTAAGTAGAAGGTTAGGACATATTTTAAGGGTTATGGGGCAAACAGTCTAGGAATTTGGAGGGCCAAAAAGGGGATCCTTCACCTAAACTTAACTGCATTGCACTGTGTACGTATACGAGTTTTAGATGACAATATTCCTTAAATAACTTTTGCAAGAAAAACTATTCGCGCTTTAAAAGTTCCATGCTATTTACATATTAAATATTACACTCATTGACACAATATATTTACACAATGCAACAAATATTGAGAGATCCGAAATATCAAAAATGTATATTTAAAACTAAAAGATGTTTATTCACTGTAAACAAAACTAGATGACCACTTTTATAAAGACACACACTCACATATGAGTGTTTATATTAGAATAGGGACATTTAAAGACGTATTGTGTCCGTATATAAAACGTTGATGTATCTGAACATATCTATGGGTTGGGTTATTGATTAAAATTGATTATTTACGTCTTTAAATAGTTTTGTACATGTTTATGTTAGTTTCTTAAAAATTTGTTATGTTAGGTGTCTTTCTGTCATTAATACACTCCTTTTATTACATGATAGTTTTCAATTTATGTTTACTCATTTATATTTAAACACTTGATATTTAAATCTTCGATCATCACTTTTCAGGCATGACTTTAAAAATATAATACAGATATAGTTAATGATTAAAGTAAAAAACTGTGATAAAAATTTGGACAGTTTTACTCTTTTTAATGCTGGCAAATAAATCAAATTATGTTCATGCGAAAATGTTTTAAATTTTTTAAAAGCATAATTATATTTTCTAACAGTACTGTCACATCTGGCATCAAGCAGTCTCGACGAAAAACTATCCACCAAATCATGTAAAGGATGATCCTCTCCGATACCACTACCCTCCACGGCTTCTGTTAGAAACCGGCCAAGCTTTAACCCTGTACAAATATACAAAATAAAATCAATCAAATCTGATCTTAAATGCAATCAAGGAAAATTGCATATATTTCTAAAATACACCATTATTTCCCCTTCCCGGAACAACAGGACTAATGTTCATTATAGGATGCTTGTCTATTATGAAATGTTCATCAACCAATAAGGTGAAGAATACCACAACGGAGCCACCAGTGTACAATTTGCCTTATCACTGCACAGTTTTCTTATAACCTTACAAACAACATTCGGTGGTGGTACTAACCAATTGTTTTCACCAAACCAGTTTTGTGAGAACGCATCAATTGCTTCTTCATTCTTACACCAGGACTTAAAATTGAATCTCGAACATTTAGCGTTGTAATCTGTAGCAAATCTGTCTATTGTATGTCTACCCCATAATTTATCCAACATTTGAAATACAGATTCTATAATATCCCAGTCGTCGCAATCTGAATATCTACTCAGACCATCAGCAATTTTATTTTGTTCTCTTGGAATCCAATGTGGTTTAATTTTTATATTGTTCTCTGAACATAAATAATTTAGCTCACAAGCAATAATGAAGTTCTGATTTTTACTACCATTTTTAAGTATACTAGTTACGTTCTTATTATCTGTATTCAATTTTAAACAATGGTTTTCTAAACATCTTAACGAACTTTTCACTGTTCTGCTTACTGCTTCAAGCTCACGCCATGTTGAACTTTTACCACTTTCCAATACTGTCCAACCACCTACTACAGTATTCAAAATGTTACCTGGTAATTCTACACCACAGTCAGTCTGAATTTCTAACGAGTCACAGACCGACTCGGCACATATGCCATCAACTACGGGCACAATATAGCCCCCAAACCTACGTCTGAGGCATCAGTGAACGCCACTAAATCACATTCATCTGACTCATGCAGATCATAACCTTTCTCATTTAACTCCGTAACTGAATTAACCAGTATCTGAGCTCCACGACAGTCAGAGCTGTCAGAGCGACAAGTGACTTCCAACTTGCCCTTAACAGTATACAGTTATAAAATTCTCTAGTTCTAAGCCTGACACAATTTCCTAACACAGCTTGCATTGATATAATCTGTCCAACAATTCCGGCAACAAACTTTGCACTGTGCAAAATTTTACCTTTTCTGACACCGAAAAGTATTTTACTGATAACAGGGAACTCTAAGTTTCCCTATCTCCATATCCCAAACCAAAGCTATCCAAGTCATATTTTGCTGTGGAAACCAAACACATTTTTCTTCAGCTATTAAAAATCCAAATTCAGACAAACTAGATCTGACATACGAGCTAGTTCTTTCAGCTGATTGAAAATCATTTGCACCTCCACGCCCATCATCAAGATACATGTTATCTTCAAATCCTGATTTCTCAAGTATTTTATCACTCCCTTAAGAACTTTGGTAAAAATATGACCTGCACTGGCCAGACCAAAAGGAAGGACATTAATTACAAAGTACTTTGTTATTCCACTGCAATCCTAACTGAAACCTAAATAAGTTCTATGTTCCTCTTATAGTTCCAGATGGTGATATGCACTCTTAAGGTCATATTTAAACAAACAATTACCCTTTTCAAACAATTCTCTTGCAACTGCACCATCTTCAAATTTAAACCTAAACTGGTGTATACATTCATTGATATGCCTACAATCCAAAACTAAACGGGGCTTCTTTGATCTAATTAAAGCTACCGTTAAAGGATTAACCACAAAAGTATATCGTTAACTTCTGAATATCAGGACGGATTGTGGCTGATATTTATATGATGAAGACATAATCTTTCAATCAGTTTAATTGAGGCATGTCAGTAACTGCTAGTAGTCTGTTGTTATTTATGTATTATTGTCATTTTGTTTATTTTCTTTTGATTCATATCCTGACATCGGACTCAGACTTCTCTTAAACTGAGTTTTACTGTGCGTATTGTTGTGCGTTTGTTTTTTCTACATTGGCTAGAGGTATAGGGGGAGGGTTGAGATCTCAAAAAACATGTTTAACCCCGCCGCAATTTTGCGCCTGTCCCAAGTCAGGAGCCTCTGGCCTTTGTTAGTCTTGTATGATTTTTAATTTTAGTTTCTTGTGTATAATTCGGAGTTTAGTATGACGTTCATTATCACTGAACTAGTATACATATTTGTTTAGGGGCCAGCTGAAGGAAGCCTCCGCGTGCGGGAGTTTCTCGCTGCATTGAAGACCCACTGGTGGCCTTCGGCTGTTTTCCTGCTCTATGATCGGGTTGTTGTCTCTTTGACACATTCCCCATTTCCATTATTAATTTAATAACCAAACTTGTATATATGTATTTCGATCCCTTACAAAGTATTTCGTATTATCTAGGTGCACTTGACTCCAATCTTAATTGACTAGGATTGTCAGTTTTCCTATTGAAGGTCTGTGGTTTTCTCCGCACACTCCGGCTTCCTCAACCAATAAAAACTTGCCGCCACGAAATAGCGGTGCTCAAAAGTGGCGTTAAAACACAAAAAATCAATCAAGCAATCGTATTATCTAAATAATTAAATATACGCAGCTGTTAATATATGTATGAAAAAAAGAAGTAGTTTATTCTATACAAATCTTTAAATGCCAATAAGCTTTCATGGACAACAATTTAACAATAAAGTGTTTCCAATATTTCGTGTAATTCCAAACCATTTAAAAACGTATTGAAAAAATATCAAATTAAAACTATCAAAATTATCCAAGTTACCTCTTAAGTACCTCGATGATTTGCCAAATTTGAATTATAATTTATGTTATTGTAACTACAAAAATGTGGTAAACATAATTGCGTGGTTCCTATTATATGGGTATCTCGATGTTTTTTGTGTTAACTATTTCAATATTTAAACTGAAAAATATAGCTATATAATATTAATGCAAACAAACAAACAATACAATAATTTATTAGAGTCTCACCTCTTTAAAACATTTGATATAAAACACAATATGATATTAACAGATCAATGTATAAAAGAGCCACTCTAAAAAGAGTAATGAGAGACTGTAAAACACACATTGAAATACATTTATATTACATCTATAACATATATCAATATATCTTAGCATAAAACACCATACTATTAAAACAATGATACAAAAAAACAAAACAACATTATAAACACGTATTACAAGTATAAAATACACTTTCTCTTAAAAAGTACTTCATGGCAGATTTTGGCTGTAAAATAACAAACTCTGTCATCATGAAACATAAATAAAAATTTTTCCTCATTACTCAAATTACTAAAATTACTTTCTATATTACATACACTGTTAAAAAATATCGTTCGCAAATCTGCATATTCTCGGCATTAACATTCGTAAATTCTAACTGTTAAAGAGAACCATTATTATGGGTCATGTTACATTGATAATTGTTCTCTTAAATCAAATATAACATATACAGTAAACAATACCACAATCTTCATACATATCGTATGCGGCAATGAGTAGCATGAAACAATAATCATAGAAAACTTAAGACTAAGCAACACGAACCCCACGAAAAACTGCGGGTGATCTCAGGTGCAATGCAAGGGTAAGCAGATCCTGCTCCACATGTGGCACCCGTCGTGTTGCTCATGTTATTACAAACCCGGTAAATAGTCTGATACGGTAGGTCACATTCCTGAACAGGAACAGGATTGTAGTTACGACATAAGGTATATATATATATGATACCATCTGTGAAACGGATATTCCATAAAGGTCAACCGACTCATGATATCGTCCGTTTACCCTCCCCTATACATATAGCCAATGTAGAATACACAAACACACAGTATACACATAGTAAAACTCTGTTTTTAAGAAGTCCGATGTCAGAATAAGTAACAAAAGAAAATAAACAAAATGACAATGATACATGATTAACAAAGGACTACTAGCAGTTACTGACATGCCAGCTCCAGATCTTATTTAAACTGATTGAAAGATTTTGTTTTCATCATATGAAAATCAAGCACAATCCCTCTCGTTAGCGGTTTAGAATCATACCATTTGAAAATATATGAGAGGACATAACCCGTATCATGCCAACAACTGGTGTTAGAAGAAATGTCTTTATTTCCCATGCAAAGACCCAATGAGTGAACCAATAATAATACCAAAATATGCTCGCACTACAGTACCGTAACTGTTTTGCTTCTAAATAAACCTGTTTATAGGTTTAACTAGCTTTTGAGGTGAATGTTGAAATTTTGTGCTTTGTAAAGAATATTATCATGAAAGATTGGATGTGAAATACCTGAACTTGTAAGATGTATGCATGTAGATTTATATTTACGAATGTTGTCCTTGTACCGATGATACAATTTAGTAAATGCTTTGAATAGTTTGTGGTATAGAAAACCTTGGTGTAATAATTTTTCAGTAATACAGAAATATTTCTTTCATTGAAATCAAATACGTTGTTATATAAGCTTTTTTATTTTGGAAAATCTGTACGACATGTTATTATATAATTGTTGACAGAAAGATTAATTTTAGCTCGAATGAATGCCAATCACATATAAGAAAAATGATCTAAAATCGGTGTCACAATGCTTAATGAATTAAACCTAACACACTTAACGTTTTAGATAATCTATACTACTTTATAAACTGCAGCATATTAGTTGCTTTCATTGCCTACTAATAGTTCTCGTCTTTCTCTATTCAAATAAATTGCCTTTGGTTTAACTAGATTATCTTTTTGCTGCAGCAAAACCTTGCTATCTTTTCCGTCGCGTTTTATTAGTATAATATTGTTTGATGTTTCACCTGATACAAGCAAGTCAAGGTTGCTATCTACAGTTAAACCAGAAGGTTTAACAATATATATATCTTTATAAACCCAAATTTCTTGACCTACGGTATTCATGCAATGAATAGTGTTCTTATTTCTGTTAGTATAGTATATCCTGTCTTTAAAGACGACAATGTTCCGACCGTTTTCAGTATCTATTGACAGGGTTTCTAAGGTTTTGCCTGATATGTCCAGCACGACTATTCCAACTATTTCAACCATTACATACAATTTACCGTCCCAATAAGATGTTCCGAAACAATCATGTGTTATGTTACCTTTCTTCGCAAATATATAAGTTGAAATCTTCTTTTCGACAACACCTGTATTAAGATTTAGAAGATCCAACGTATGACCAAAAACTCCATGTGTAATAGCAATATGATCTGGGAAAATCATTGTTGAATCATATGGATTTTTATCAATTTAAATATCTTTGGCATGGCTACCAGATTCATTGTATTTGACAACTTTGTTATGAACCCATTTATCGGCAATAACTATATCTCCACTTGGTAACATTAGACAACCGGTCACGATCATCTTCAAGCTAACCTTTTCCAACTTAAACTTGTGTTTCAATCGAAGTTCTTGTACGGAATTTACGAGTGGCAATGAAACTTGCATTTTGGCTTGATTTAATTTTGTTTCCTTGAACTGCATATTGGCATTGTCTTCTTTGATTGATATGATGCCTAGATGACTAACATTGTCTAACAATGATGAAATGTTAGCATCAAGTTCAAGTTTTATTTCATATGATTTTCCAGCGTCAAACATGGATTTCATGGAATTAATTTCTTTTTCGACCACTTTGCTCATTTCACGCGTTCCTAGAAATATTTGCTCGTCTGACGCAATTCGTTTCAGGCTTTCGGTATCATTTTTTAACTTTGCTAACTTGTCGTATGATGAGATTATTTTCTTTATTGTATTTGCGTATGCAGTTTTACAATATTCAGACTTTGTTGAAAAATCTTTGGTCAATTTCTGCTCCATATCATCTAAATGTTTATTTAATTTTTCTCGCATTTCCTTTATGTATTTCTTAATATTTTCCTCTTGTTTATCGAATGCCTCAGCAGATGACTTGATATCCACGATCATATTGATTTTACTATTTTGTAGCACCACATTTATCGTATCTTCTAAGTCCGTAAGTGCAGTAGATTCTTTTATATTTACAACAGCTTCGATCAGTGGAAAGACTTGAGAACAAGATTTATGCTGATCAACGCAGGCGATACATATAGCGTTGTCGTGTGTAGGACAGTACAAATCGTAATTTTTCCCATGTTGCTCGCATACTTGGCTTACCACCACATCCTTTATGTGTTGATAATCATTAATGGAAATGATTTTGTGGGTTCTGGTATTTTTTGTAGATCTATGAAGTTTTTCACAGTCTTCACAAAGTCCTTCTTCACAATTTGTACACCATTGCCTTGCATCCTTGATAGTATCCCTATACTGGCATATACCACATAAAATCGCTGAAGTCATGATAAATTTCTGTAGACAAAAAATATACATGATAGGCCATATCGAGATAGAAATACATATTTATAGTCACCTTATAACTAGGGCAAACACAAATTATTTTTTCACCAAGCAATACAAACGAAGTGTTCCTTTGTCATATCATATGTTAGGTCAACTTTGCCCGAAAGGGTTCATTTCTTATTTTCTATATAACATGTATAACTTCTAGCCTAATACACTAGATCCAAAAAAGTTAACCATCCTGCATCCTGCATCACAACATACAAAACGTAGCGTTTACCACTACTAGCAATGATTATGTAATGAAAACCATTAAATGAAACCACTCAGCCAAGGCTAGCATATCTCATAATAATTCTATTATAATAATGATTACATTTTGATTATGATATGTAGGTTCTAGTATTCTGTATCAGCATGATTTCTGCTCCATATCATCTAAATGTTTATTTAATTTTTCCCGCATTTCCTTTATGTATTTCTTAATATTTTCCTCTTGTTTATCGAATGCCTCAGCAGATGACTTGATATCCACGATCATATTGATTTTACTATTTTGTAGCACCACATTTATCGTATCTTCTAAGTCCGTAAGTGCAGTAGATTCTTTTATATTTACAACAGCTTCGATCAGTGGAAAGACTTGAGAACAAGATTTATGCTGATCAACGCAGGCGATACATATAGCGTTGTCGTGTGTAGGACAGTACAAATCGTAATTTTTCCCATGTTGCTCGCATACTTGGCTTACCACCACATCCTTTATGTGTTGATAATCATTAATGGAAATGATTTTGTGGGTTCTGGTATTTTTTGTAGATCTATGAAGTTTTTCACAGTCTTCACAAAGTCCTTCTTCACAATTTGTACACCATTGCCTTGCATCCTTGATAGTATCCCTATACTGGCATATACCACATAAAATCGCTGAAGTCATGATAAATTTCTGTAGACAAAAAATATACATGATAGGCCATATCGAGATAGAAATACATATTTATAGTCACCTTATAACTAGGGCAAACACAAATTATTTTTTCACCAAGCAATACAAACGAAGTGTTCCTTTATCATATCATATGTTAGGTCAACTTTGCCCGAAAGGGTTCATTTCTTATTTTCTATATAACATGTATAACTTCTAGCCTAATACACTAGATCCAAAAAAGTTAACCATCCTGCATCCTGCATCACAACATACAAAACGTAGCGTTTACCACTACTAGCAATGATTATGTAATGAAAACCATTAAATGAAACCACTCAGCCAAGGCTAGCATATCTCATAATAATTCTATTATAATAATGATTACATTTTGATTATGATATGTAGGTTCTAGTATTCTGTATCAGCATGATTCCTAATCAAAAAGTCAAATATATATTTTCTCCTAACGAGCATTGATTATGTAATGAAAACCATTAAATGAAACCACTCAGCCAAGGCTAGCATATCTCATAATAATTCTATTATAATAATGATTACATTTTGATTATGATATGTAGGTTCTAGTATTCTGTATCAGCATGATTCCTAATCAAAAAGTCAAATATATATTTTCTCCTAACGAGCATTTATATAGATATAGTAGAATTACTTAGTAATATTGTTTACAGTAATTGTAAAATGGATCTGATTAATTCATGAGAAAGGTAATTATTCTTGAACAATGAAGATTAAAGTTTCATACAAAAATCACAGGAATTTTAAGGCAATATAAGACAAACAAAAATAAAAAAAACCCCGAAAGACTAGAGAAAATAAATGGTTAATATTGTAACGAAATGTTGGTTCTCTGAAATTGAACTTGTTTCCCTTAGAATTGTGTGATGACTTTGTTTTATTTGTACCGATAATTAACTTTTCTTATAATATATTTCTTGCATAACTATCATGTTTAAACATTGTTAACTCTTAAACGTTTATTATTCTGGCCTATGTTTTTACATTCGGAACACCTCTGAATTGATCATTCTAATTGACGTACAATGACGTCACTTCTTTGAAAATTGTAAACGGTAAACTAAATCGGTAAATTGGTTTATCTGAGTACATATACGGCGAATAATACAGATAGGTCTTCAGTACGATTTTCCCTGGTCAAGTAACAATCGCTTAATATTCCATGCGATTTAGATAAATGTATAGTAACCATTCACCAGACCAAGTATATATTAACCAGATATTAAACACTATTACAATGTCCGAGGAGACCACTTCCGTATAATGTTGGTTTGCTAATTCCTTTACAAGTGACATTAAGAGAATAACTTCTCGAGAGGAACCTTATTTTTTGGCATAAATTGATTTATCATTTGCCGATTACCAAAATACAATTAGTAAACTGTCTAGGTATATTTTTCCGCTATCCATTTTTGTCGAGCCTGAGACTTTTTTCGCAGAAAGCTAGACATAGGAATAGTGAACCGGCGGCGGCGGCGGCGGTAGCTAACTTCTTAAAAACTATATATTTTAGAAGGTGGAAGACCTGGATGCTTCATACTTTGTATATGGATGCCTCATGCTACGATGTTTCCGTCAGTTACATGTCCAATGTCATGGTTCAGTGACTACTTGATAAAAAGTTCAGATTTTTTGTAATGTTAAGTTCTCTCTTATTATAAGTAATAAAATAACTATATTTGGTATGTGCGTACCTTGCAAGGTCCTCATGCCCGTCAGAAAGTTTTCACTTGACCTCGACCTCATTTTTCTGATCAGTGAACAAGGTTAAGTTTTGTTGGTCAAGTCCATATCTCAGATACAATAAGCAATAGGTCTAGTATATTCGGTGTATGGAAGGACTGTAAGGTGTAAATGTCCAACTTGCAGGTGTCATCTGATCTTGATCTCATTTTCATGGTTCAGTTGTTATAGTTAAGTTTTTGTGTTTTGGTCTGTTTTTCTTATACTTTATGCAATAGATCTACTATATTTGGTATATGGAATGATTGTAAGGTGTACATGTCTAGCTGGCAGGTGTCATCTGACCTTGACCTCATTTTCATGGTTCTGTGATCAAAGTTAAGTTTTTGTGTTTTGGTCTGTTTTTTTCAAACTATAAGCAATATGTCAACTATATTTGTTGTATGGAAGACTTGTTAGCTCTACATGCCTGCCTGGCATGGTTCATCTGACCTTGACCTCATTTTCATGGTTCATTGGTCAATGTTTAGTTGTCTTGGTTAATGTTAAGTTTATGTGACAGTTGTAATAAAGCTTTATATTTAGGACTATCAACATAATATCAATGATTAGTAAAGAAGGCAAGACATTTCAGCGTGTGCACTCCTGTCTTTAATTCACGTTAGGAAGTTAATAATATATATATCGTTAAGGCTATAATATTGTTTAGCTATTCATTATTTATCTGTGTTGTTGATATTTAATGCATGTTAAAGTTAATAAAAATTTATTTTTATTGAACGAGTCTGTTATTCCTACAAATATAAATACGGAGAGTTACATACAGAACACAAAAAACACGTTCACATGCCAAAAACGTATTTACTGATATACCCCTTTTTATCCAAATCCTCACCTTACCAGATTAACCAACCTTACCAGAGTGTAAACAAAGATAACCATAGTTCCACGAAATCGGAGTACCACGCTACTAGAGAAGAGTCACCAGTTATAACTTTTATATCATATACATTATGTCATACATCCTTACAAAAACATTCTTATAGCAACACATCAAGGGACACACTCTAATAGTTTAAAACTATGGCCCGACCGCCCGGTTTGCGTTACAATATTATATATATTAAACAGATCATCAGTTGCCTAAGTGCTTTCTCTTTCACTGTATCAGATTTTATTGTTTTATTGAAATTTATTTTGTTAATTATGATGCATCATTCACAATTGTACATTTACGCAATCCTTCGCACATTATAAAAGGCGCAGAGTCAGCAATTGTAGCGATAGAATCAATAAAATGTGTAACGGCAGTTATAGCACCTTTTTTTTAAGCATGTATAATTGATTCAATTTTATACTTATTTAAGAATAACAATTTTTGTTATAAGTTTTAAAATAAAAAAAAACCACATTAAACTTACCAGATGTGCCGGATAGCTGTTTCAGAAAATGAGGCCATTTTAAGTAATTGTCCTTTCAAATAATTTAAATCTGTACACATTTAATCCACCTTTGTCTTAGGTTTTAACCTGTTTACAAAAGGTTCTCAATAAGACGAAGATATGTATTATTAGTAATTTCACCATGAACCTATAATAGGCCAAGAATGTCTTTAAAGGGAGAACGTAATAAATACAAGATCTCTTACTTTTGCATCTGTGCACAATTATTAGAATACAGTAAAAAACAAGGTAAAATCAAATACATTACAACTTTTATAATACTTGAGTGGTTCAAAATTGTTTTTTTTAATTTTTTTTTTTGTGGAAGGGGCGATGCCACTGGCACCAATTTTCTGTTATTTGTATTGGAAAACAGACGACTATAATTTTGTAACTGTATATTTTCTAAGACTTTTGCGGGCAAGTAACGGATTTGTGCTTCGCACTTTCATCAATGTATATATCTATGTATTTTTTGTGTTGTGTTAACTAAAACTCGAATTTCTGTACACCAAAAAATCCCAAATATTTTCTATATTTGATTGTTTATGTCTTTGACGAAAGCAATTGCATTAATTATTAACACACGAACAATAATGTAGAGAACTGCATTTACCTTGTTGAAAGAGTCCATGCAGAAATCCTAATAACCATATCGGTTGATGGTTTATTTTAGTGCAGCAAACTATGTTTTGTGTTATTTTATGTCTTGTCTGTTCAAGAATGAACAAATGATCTTTTAACTAATGAAACAATTAACCAATAAATCAATTATGTAGATTTGATTTTTTTTTTCTCACCATAACATTTGTTTTTATTTTGATAGTACCTGTTAGGGGCCTCGGTGGCCGAGTGGTCTAAGTAGTTACTACTGTAATCACTAGCCAGTCAACACTGAGGTTGTGGGTTCGACCT